TTTATTAAAGGAAAAAATGGGAGTGAGCATGCTTGTCAATCATTATGTATATACATTTACTTAATTGTTATTAAATTAAAATAAATATGTATTTATAGTGTGTTGATTTATATTTTGATAAATCTCGTTTTCGTTAATTTATATAAACCGAGATTTTTTCTCGGTTCCTTGAAATTCGTTTCATCACGAGTTGACTGTATTTGTAGTTTGTAGATTTATATTTTAATAAATCTTGTTATAAATAATTTTGTTGGTTTATGCTCTTGATGTATAAGGAATTCCGATGTAAGAAATTTTTTCTCGTATTTGGAAGTTCATCATATCACGAGTTGACTGCATTAGGTACATAAGATATTGCCTGGTTCGCGATCAAAGAATCATTTTTTATTTACTATTTAATATTTATATATAATATTAGGAATGTTACGTTTTAAGTTCAGTAGGTAATGTTTAATATAATTACTTCAGATGGCAATACGTTTCTTGCTCAATTATTGTGATGGCTTACAAAGATGATTCAATTTATCAGTTTAAAATATTAAATGAAAGTCTTTTATTGACACTGAAAAAGTGTTTAATGATAAAGCACAGTTGTTAGTTAAAATTAAACAAAGCGGGACTACGTCTCTAGATCGATTAGGTACTCAAGATTTTTATCAACGGGTCGTGTCTTACTGCGATCTGTTACGATCTTGAGTACCTATATGAGTCTACTCTTAAGTCTACAAGGAGATGTTGTGAAAAAAAACTCAAACATTAAAAATGTTTTATAATATTAATTAATGATTGATGGTGTAAGTATAAATAATATGTATTGTGAAGGTATAAAAACTTGAAGAAACTCACAAATTTGTATGAGCGTATGAGTGCGAATTTAGTGGGGTATATCAAAAACGAAGGCGAGAGGATGAAGAAAAGTTTTTGCCAGATAATTTTGATTTATAAAACCACGGGAGGTATATAGAGAAGAATAGCCGATATCTCTTACTAAGTGGGAAAGTGAGGATAAAATTGTTAATATTATAATATGTTAAAAAAAAATATTTAGGTAACAAGGTGAAATATGAAAGTATTTGTACAACATTAAATTGTACACATTTTATTAAAATATTAATTAATTTGAATATAATTGGTAATTTCAATTGCAGGAGAAATGGCAAACTTTATCACAAGCACTTAAGAAAATTGTTTTTACACTCGTCAGTGAGGATTTTTATATTTATTTATATTTTAATTTTTATGACAGTAAATAGTAAAATACTTGATTCGATCAATTCAATTATTTTTATTATTTGTTGATCACTATTAAATTCTTTAAAATATGATAATATAAATACTGGTGATTTTAATTAAACATAAATAGAAAAGTTCATAATTAAATATTCACTGGCCAGGCTAATAACTAAATTTAATTTAGGCACATAATCAAATAATTTAATTAAAATAAAATGTTAAAAGCTGCACCTATGAATAATTCAGCAGACAACAGGTTATGCACATTATTGCCCGTTTGGTTAAAGAAATATTGTGGTATTGGTATAAATTGTAAGCTAGGCAGTGTTGAGCCGAGATAAATATAATTTTATCTAGATATAGATAAAGATAAATTATAATAATGTTATCTAGATAAAGATAAAGATATTTATTTATCTAGATAAAGATGAAAAAAAAAAATTAATTTAATCTAAATAGATTATGATTCATAATTTATGAGATGCATTTTTTTAATATTTTTTTATGGCACTTTCCGTAAGCTCGTAGCAATATAGAATAACCTAATAGTATGTTATCGAAAATGTCGATAGTTATTAGTAAATACTACCTATATAATAAATTACTTAATTATCTACCTATTTTCTATAATAAAGAAAAGCCGTTTAATAAATTAAATTATCTGGATAAATGTATCTAGATAACGGTGATTTTTATCTTAGATAAGTGTGTAAATTAATATTTTCTATTTATCTAGATAAGATTAAAGATAAAAAAATATTTATCTAGATAAGCTCAACACTGAAGGTACCTTTATAAAATAATATGAATAAAAAAGTCACTACTCGTCGATTCGTTGTTACTGTAATATAAGTACTTAGTATTAACACTTATCTACATTTTAGATTCTAATCGGAGCGATTAATGTAGTAATTTTAGTAATTTTACAATGACGTGTGATTTTTTTTTCTGTTGGCATGATTTAATATTAAAGGAGAAAAAAAATGCATAGATCTTTAACGTTGAGCGTGGTTTCTGATACCAAATTGGATCAAGTTGGTTTAGGTTTTTGGACTATAATTATTAGCTACAAACCTTTGACGTTTTCGATTTTTAGCTCTGTCAAAAACCTTGAAAAATTTAATACAGTAAGTTCCTCATAAGTTTTCATTATAACTATTTATAAATATAGATGATTCATAAACACGATTTTTTTATAAGCATTTTAAGTTAAAATTTTGAAAAAATTATTAATTTTAATTCTTTATTAAGAAAAACAATTTTAGTAGTTTTTATGCAATTCAAAATTATTTTTTGTTAGAATTTGAAACTTTTACGTATATTATTAGATTTTTTACATGATAACATTTTCAAAACATTTAGGTGAATTGTATGCCTAACCTATTTATAGTTTATTCCGTATTACTAATAGTAAAATAAAATATTACTGTAATAATTAATAGAAATTTAGTAATATACTAATATACGTAATTATAATATAATAGGCTGACCTATGAGTCTCTGCTCAGAATCGTTTTTCGTATGCAATTATTTATCATTGGATTCAAATTTAATACCATTACACTAATCTAGTCACTCAATAACGAGGTACACTCGATTCCTACAACTACACAGTGCAGAGCGGTTACCTGCATTTCCCTTTTAAAAAAAAAAATATTATTTAAAATTTATACCTACAATGTTATGATATGCTCGAAGTGTTTGAATGAAATGTGTAGTGTATGAATATTACAGAATGTGGTCGAATATTTGCAATAAAAATTATGATCATATTTGGATAGGTACCTATATACGTTTTTGCTACAGTTAATTATTTGTCATGATATGTTAAAAATAAAAATATAAACGTTAGGAAAATAAAAACGTAAACACTAAAGGCACAGATATTTTGTTCTTTTCCTCTCTTAGTATAGATTCATGATTTGTGCACATTTTATAAAATTAATTAGGTCAAGACTTGTACTCACTATCTCGTGGTAGTAATTTTGATCCACACAAACGATTCTGAACCGTTGTAAAAATCATTATTCTATTTTTGTCTTCGTCTAATAAATGAAAAATATTCATTTGAAATTGTTTTTCTTAATACAAGAGAATAGTTGAAACGCATGGTAGTTAACTATTCGTTTAATTTACTTTTTTTTTGCCTTTTATTAAAGTTGTGTTGACGAAATGTTGGTTATTACTGATTTGATAAGAAAGAACAGAAAAAAACTTGTACATTATATCTGAAATTTAATAGTTGCCTTCAACTCCCAGGGAATCTTGAGATTTGGCTTAAGTTAAATAAAAATGTATCACCTTAGTGTATTAATAATTGTATTCACGGAAAATTGAATTATGTGGAGACGTCTAGCCTCCAGCTAATTGTGTTCGAAAAATAATTATTTGATCTTTATGGTTTGTTATATAGTTATCAGTTATATGTAGTATAATTGTTTTGTATACGAACTATAGGTATATTACATATAATACTTCCAAGTGCTCTGCCCACAAGAAACAGAATAAATAAATATAATACCTCCTATAGGTTAGGTTAATTATTCTCTTCTGGGTGGCGCAAACTTAGATTAGAGGTTCCACGTAATAATTTAAAATATAAAAATATTTTACAGCCATTTTTTAAAACAATATTTTAAACTAATATTATACGATGCTTAATGCTTGTATAATGCTTTTATGTTTATTATTCAATCTATTTTAATTTTGATTATTTTTTTAAAAATAATACAAGTTTTTGTATAGTTATAAGCTATAACTTATAAATTATAATTATAACTATTTTGTTTAATTAATGATTATTTTTTATGACTAACAATCTATTATTAGATAGTTGAAAGTATATGTATTTGAATTAAATGAGACTGTAATATGCATTATAATAATTACGACAATAAATTAGCATTTATTAAATTATTTTGAATTCTATAGGTTAGAATATGTTAGTTATATGTTATATTATAACTAACTGTCTAAATTGATTGCGCATTTTAAATGTGACAATTAATAAAATACTATTACACGTATTACACATATAAACTTTATAATTACTTTAATAATATTAAACTTAAAATAGTTACTTTTTTTAAGCAAATTTTAATTTTAAAAATAATTTAAAACACTTAACGAATCAATAAATTCTTATTTACTATGCGAAATAAGCTTAAATAAAAATACTTTTTTAGTTATAAAATATTATATAATAATATGTTTATGTAAATTAAATGTAATTAAATATTTGCATTACTAATTAACACATAATATTGTACATTTACTATCTAATGTAAAAAACTTAATTGATTAATTATCAGGAACTCCTTAAATTATGAATATAATTCGATTTAGATATGAAATTTACAGTAAAAAAATTATAAATATAACCTACATAAAAATTAGACATAAAATTAATTAAATTACACAAAAAAAATAGGTAATGGTTTGTTTGATTTGTCAAAAAAGGTGAACAACTATACTCTGTTCTAAATAAGAACAGTAGTCGGAGGCCGAGTTCTGCGCATGGCGTGGCTTTGTTCAGTGGCAGCGCCCGACGCGTCGCCGTAGTGGGACGGCGTCTAATCATATTATGTCTGACCGCCGCCTGACGAAAACTCGTCGGGGCCGAATACTGTTCTTATTTTGAACAGAGTATAGTAAACATATTTATGGAATCTTGTACTTCATGGTATAACTATATATGTTTAATGTGATTAAAATTGAATTCAAGCTTCCGTATAGATATGTAGTATACACACGTACGTATGCCACAACTAAGCCAAAAATATTCTTTTTAAAATCACCCATAACAGCATCATGAGTCCTATGTAGACAGCGCCTTTGAAGATCATATGACAGATATATAAACTAAAAAACAAACATGAAATAACGGTTTTAATTGGAATTGTCAATTGTTATTCACAAAACAATAATATTATAGAATATAGACCACGAGTTAGAAGTGTTAGAACGCGGTGATGCATTATGGGATATCAATAATTATTGTTGTATTAGCCATTAGGAGTGTAGGACCAATAATACAATTTTATTCCCCGGCCAATTCTAATCTCTATTCACGTTTCAGGAAAAAGTTAAAAGTTACGATGTATTCTATTGATTAAGCACCAACAGTTTAATCGTATTAGTATTAGATCATGAAACAATTGAGACTAAGTTTACTATCTAATTTATATATAGATACTGGAAATAATAAAAGTTTTGAGATGCTCAATTTATTTTTACATAAGTACAACTTACTATACAGATGTTAATATGTTATACAGTTATATTGTAGCCATACTATAAGTATAGATATATATTATGAGTTAAGCATACCCGTGAAGACGTTTCCTGGCCTCCGGTAACTTGTCCTGTCCTTCTTTGAGCAAGAATGTCATTATCCCTTTGTGGTACGTATCCAAGTACTCTTCCCAATGCATCTTTTTAATATCGAATGGAAACAGTGTTTGGTCGTCATTGTTTAAGCTGTTCCATAAGCTTTGCACGTTTTTATTACTGAATATCCATTCCCTCGTGGAAAAGTATTCCAATATGTCAGTGAATCTTCCTATTTTCTTGTATTGGTCGACCAATCTAAAATCGTACACGTTAATCATGTTATATTTCCATTGATATCGAATATTACCGGTTAGGTAAATCCTATGACGCAATACTAACCGCGTTTACGGAAAAATAAAACCAAACACCCACAAACCTGAGTTTATTTCCCGTGCAAATGAACACTAAATCCAACAGGAACGCGGGCAGATAATGTAATATCAGGACGGTGAGCTTGTGTAAAAACACCGACGAATTCATTATCAACGTCGGATACCACATGGCCTTAGCCGTGGGCCGGTGCAAGATGTAGTACATCAGGGTCGTCGAAAATATTCTCCAAGTCAATGGGTTTTCGGGTGACGACACGAAATTGAAGATGCGAGGGTCGTCAGTGTGATTTTCGATCGATTCGCTTGGCCCGGCACGACAGTATCTGCAGGAGAAACACCGATATAATTTAAAATAGCTGGTATATAAGAAATAATTACAAGAAAATAATAATACCGTATATTCGTGAAACATTTTTTATACGATATGATAATATAATTAGATGGTGGGAATAGGCAGCAAGTGGTATAACCTCTAAAAATGCTAATTAGTCTCTAAAAGAGACTAACATTTTAAAAGTTAAAGTTAAGAATTATACGAGGAATAAGGTAAAATTTGATTGATAAATCGTTAAACACGTATAATATGTTAATAAATAATTATACAATATTAAAAGTGTTAAATTATTTTTTTAAAGTTGATATTATTATTCAAAGTGTTAAGAGTCGAGGGTTACAGTATTTTACATGGATTGATATTTGAAACTGTGGGTTAAGTTATGAGCTTTTTAGGCTGTTATGTAAATTGTACATTACAAAATAATTGTGGGTTACAGTGAGTGTTACATTAATTTACTGGAACCGTTTACAGTTATTGTGGTATCCTGTTGGGGTTTACATCGCACTTGACCATAATGTTGCTACTGTTACTGTGGGTTATAGTAGGTATAGTTCTTAAAATAAATGAACTTGAATTTAGGATTGAGAAAAAATGAATTAAAAGTTAGGTTACTTTGAAAAAAGTTGTATTTACATTCGTTTTATTACTATCTGTTATGGCTCAAGGGCGTAGCCAAGTATGGAGGAGGGGAATCACTCCCCCCACCCTAACCATAGGTAACAATTGATATATTAATATTTAACGAAATTTTAAATTGGGGTAAACATTTAAAAATACACTTGTTTGCCCTCCATCCCCCTCATGACGACATTTTTATCTAAGCCCTTGTTAAAAAAAAACCTCAATTTCGATAGGATTGACGGTTTATATCACTTGTCCTTTGCACCATTATTATTTGGAGCTGCACACGTATCACGTACGTGATGCTATTATTATATACGAACTTAATAATATGTATATAATATCAGAAGTCACAAAGGACCTTTCTCATGCGTCGTACCTGACGTGTGTATCCCAAGACGCGGCTATTAGCGCGTTCACAGTCAAATCGGCAGGCACAAGATCCGTGACGGCGTTCAGGTCACAGGGCAGAGATTTTATTATGCCCGTCATCACGCCAGTCACGATGCCGGTCGGCCCGTACAAATTGTCGATCCAACCCGGCAGAGGTTCGTTGGCGGTCGCTATCACTGTTAAAAATATACAATAACAATAATCGCCTGTAGTGTATAATAATATGATAAAAAAAATGTCTCGTTTCCTCGTCATTTTTAAATAATATTATGTAGGTATCTACCGATTGCCGGACGGACTATCGTGACGGGCAGACCCTTGGCTTCGCGCTTGATCAGTTGTTCGGCGGCCGCTTTCGTCATGACGTAAGTGTTTGGCATGGGTCCCAACAGGCTAGATTTATAATGGCAATAATATTGTATTAGGGTATCTTTATTGGTGTTCGACAGATTTAAATTATGTTTAAAGACAAAAAAACAAAAACGTTGTAAATAATATTATTCTTATAGTAAAAAAACTATAATGATATTACGACATTGTCATACTTTTGACGACGATTATGTTTTTTATTATACTCATGTAGAAATGTGTTGATGAGTGTTTAACGATTTTCAAAAATATGATGAAATTAAATTAATTAAAATTATCTACTACGAATTTAATACTAAGCAGTGTTGTAAATTAAGCAATTTGCATGTACAAAACAGCCAGCAGACACACAAAATTAAAAAGAAAAAAGTGTAGGTACAATTTTAATACTTACAAAGGTTTCATTTTTTCGAGTATATTTGAACTTTTTGTCTTATAAAGATGTATGAGTTTTTCATAGTTATATGGTAGATTATAAAATTTTTCTTCTATACGTTTATTATGACAATTGGAGAAAGCCGTCGAGACATGCAAATAAGACTAAAAAAAAAAAAAAAATTAATTCGTAAATAGATGTTCGAACAAAAAGTGATTAGAAGGTATATATGATTAATTTACACTTTTAAAAATAATAAATAATTACCGCGAGATTTTCAACTTTCTGAGCAAGTTTTACGATTTCTCTGGCACCGATTACGTTTATTCCAATGGCAATGTCAAGGCGTTCATCAAATCTAACCGTAGCTGCACTATGAAATATGACATTTACCTCTTTGATTAACATATTCAGGTCTTCAGCGGACAGTCCCAAATCTGCCTGGCTACAGTCACCTCTGAGTGCACTGATTTTCTTTAATGTTGTTGCATCGATGTCTTTAAATATCTATGGTTTTGTAAATTAAATTATAAATAGGGTTCAAAGAAAATTCCTCCGTCACGCTGCTTACAAATTAAACATATTCTGTCCACCTCACGATTACACGCCAATCCAATGCCTTTTTTCCTTAGAAAGCCTCGCCGATCGTCGTCATTCAGCCAACTTATCATTTATATCTAATCTTCTTTCCTCTACAATTGACAGTCCTAAATCACTATCGCGTGTCTCATTTAATGTCCCCTCCCGACGTACACGATCATCTGTTCCATTTCATATTCCTTTCTCTTCCTCAAACTACTATCTTAACTCTTTGAGGGGCGAAAATTTCCTTTGGAAAAAAAGCCCATGTGGGCAATATGTCTCTTTACCGTAACATTTAGTACGTATATCAAAATATTGATAATGATAATAAATGATGAAATACGCGAGAAATGATATCAGACCAGCGGCAGTGATATTGTTTGATGCATGTATTAGATGATAATAAGGTGGTTGGTATGCTGACGATTTTCAAAAAAATATTAAAAATAATTTTAAAAGTGGTTAAAATAGTAACCACCGCACCTGAACGGTAAAAAAAAAAGTGGTTAGCATACTAACCACGGCCCCTCAAAGAGTTAACTCACCGATCATCCGTCTTATGCGCATTGCCAACACTGACCCTTCATTCTCACTCTAAATTGAGCCTCGTTTCCATAAAGCAAACTATATTACTATTATTATTATACTATTATATTCATGTATTAAAGGGTTCGTCCCGTATTGTAAAAAAAAAATAAAAAAAAATTGATATCATATAATATTTAAAACTATTTATGCAATAAAAATATATAACATCATCGTATAAAACGTACCGGCATATTGAATATGTCCTCAAGCCTTTCGTGCGCATTTTTTCCTTTTTTGTCCCTTACTAGAAGATAGATGTGGTTGATCTGAGGGCACGATCTAATCAATTTGTTGACGATCAGCTTACCAAGAAACCCCGTACCTCCGGTGACGAAGACGGATTTATTTTTAAAAAACTCTTGGATGTTTGATTGTATTTCAGCCATTTTTGGGAAAATATAATCGTTACTAAAAATATAGTAAATAAATATAATAAAAATGCATTCAAGTCCTTCAGGATAAAATTTTAAATAAACTAGTCTTAAAACAATGTTTGGCTAAAGTGTTGTTGAAAGTGAGTTAACGTTTGTGCAATTGCGCTGTTCTAGAAAGTAAAAATTATAGGCGTTATAATATTATATTTTTATGAGACCCCGTACAACTAAACATTGTCACGTATTGAACTTATAGATAAAATAAATCATTACTATAATAGAAGTATAACACAACTCTTTAAAAATATAAAAGCATTTTCATATCTGCATTATTACCATTTCTATTTGAAGTGCCTATTTTAAATGTTCATTAAATATTACACCTAAGCATTTTTCCATTTTTCTGCATTGATTAGATGCAATAAATACAATTTTGATTACATACACGAATAGTATTTTTTCGTTTATCTACACTCAATTACTATATAAAGTTAAATTGTAATTTGATCTGGAGTGTTTGAACTTTGAACTTGATAAGGCAAATTGAATAAATATTGATTTGTATTTTTATTAAACACTACCTACACTATTTTTGGTATACAATTTATTCATTAGGTATTGACTGCTAATAATAATAAATTATCAATTTGTCATAATTTTCCATCTTAGTTCAATTAACACAACTTAATACAGCATCATCTGCAAATGCTAATATATTACCATCCATGTTATCTAAATGAAATAAATTATTTACATAAATTTAAAATAATATAGAAGTATATACGCTGTCTCTTGTTCTTATACGACAAATTTAACTATACACGAATTACTTAGCAATATTATTACCAATTGATCACTACCATTAATGTTAGATCTGTTAAAAATATATGGTTTTAATAAAATATCCCAAAATATATTCTAAATTATAACATAATTTTATAGTTTTAATTTATACAAAAGTAACTCATGAGATATTGAATCAAAAACTTTAACAATGTCCAAGAACATTATTAAGTTCGTACAAAGGGCCTTTAATAATAGAGACCTAATCTAATCAGTTTTTAATTATGTTATAAAAATAAATAATAATATACTACAATTTGATTGTTTACGATGTTAATTTTTCAAGAATACACTAACTTTTAAATTCTGAGTGGAACGATAAATGTATTGATTTTACAATGATGTTGGTTTTCTTTTCTTTTTTTCTTTTTTATTTTTGTGTCTGTGTGCACGATAAGTAGTCAAAATAATGCTTCGATTTTCAACTTCAGTATCTTGTTCGACTGGAAAGTGAATATCATTGGTGAATTGGGGAAGTCAAAATTAAAATTCACAGTAATTTTCAAAAGCGCCAAGAAAAACAAAAGAAAAATTAAGGAAAAACGGGAATTTTTGACAAAATCGATTTTGGCTTTTGGTGTAACATTAAAAAAAATGATCGTAAGTACATGCATTTTTCAGTTAATTTTAATATTAGCCTTTTCTACGCATAAAAAAAATATCAAAATAATTTGATATTTTTTTTAAATACCTATTTACGGATATACTCAGTTTCCAACTTTTTTAGGTTTTTTCTATGAATGTCAATAAAACATTATTTGTTAGGTACAAAAGCTTTAAAATTTAATACAAAACTCCTACTATATATTGTTACAATGACATTTAAATAATACTAAAAATCCCTTTAGTCACAATTTTTATGAGCATTTAAAGATCAAATTTTGACAAAAATTGTCAAATTTAAAATTGAGTAAATATTTAGTAGTTAAAAATGTATAAAATGTTGAACTTTTATATCTAAGGATTGAAAATTTAAAACAAGATTTCGCGTAAGTAGTTAATTCTGTTACCAAAAATTCTAGAAAATAAATAAGCACAGTTTTTTTATAGTCATTTTAAGTTCAAATTTGAATGAAATTACATAAAAAAAACCTAGAATAACTATTTTAGTTATTTTGTTGTGATTGTATAATATTATTCGTGGGTAGTTGAAATTTCTAAAGTTCGAAGTCAGGGTTTTTTGTTGATGTCTAACGCGTTATAAGTACCTAATGGATATTGTGATATGATTAATTTGGAATTTGTTATAGGTAAATTTTTTTTAATACCATAGTTAAGTATATAATATGTCTTATACCTAGACTGACATACCATCTCCGCTCAGAATCGTTTTTCTTATACAATGATATTATATCATTGAATTCAAATTTAATACCATCCATTATACAGTGATTCACTTGTAACCTACTGTACAGCAGAGCACCTTTTTAAAATTAATTTTATGTATTAAAAAGAAAAACGTTTTTGAAAGTTTAGCGCTGCAGTGTATACACTGATACTTATTAAAACAATAGAACATTATATTAATATCATATATTTTAATGAAAATAACATGCAATCTACACAGAATAATTCTGAAAAAAAAATAGTAACAAAATAATATTATTTACTATTTTTAAGGGCTTCACCAGAATAATATAGTTACACTTATGAATATGTTAATTTTAAAATTCAATAAAAGTTCTCTTTGGGTTTAGAATAAGTTCAACTTTAAAAATTAGTTTAGGTGTAATGAGAGTCAACACGAAGTAAGCATTATAATAGAGAAAAGTTTTCTACAATATATAAGTAGAGATGATTTCTATTAGATTATATAGAGCCGTTTCAGAAATAAGGAACCTTTCTATTGTGCAAGAGTGCATAAATAAAAAGAATACTCACTGAATCTAAAAATACATTATTTTATAATAATATGGTGCTTTGTGCATACACTGTTTTTTTCTTACACAATATCATAAAAGTTTAAAATATGTTCTATTATATTGTAAGGCATACCTACATATTTATTTATTTATTTATAATATATAAACGCCAAACGGCAATTCTAAATTAACACATTAAGTTTAAAATTAATAGATATAACAATAATATAATACAAATTCACACAAAATTAGAACATATGGAAAAACACAACATAATATAAACTAAGTGGTAATACCTTAATTTAGTAATGTATAACTATGATACAACATATTTATAAATGATATTATTTAATTACTTATTAAAATCAAAATTAAGATTGTTCAGATTACGAAGCATTCTGTGCAAGGGGTGATTATGTCCGTATAATGTATTGTGAGTTGGAACTTGGAAGAGTGCGTGATTTCTGGAGAAGAAGGAACATAGCCATATACGGCTTTAATAGTTTTTATGAAAATAATATTATAGCTACTCGGTAATATTATAATCATTAGTATTAGTTCCTATGTCAGATGGATGCAAAATGTATTTAAAGATCCTCATTATTAAATTCTATTCGGTTTTAAGTTCATTCTGTAGGGTGTAGACTATGGTTTTGGTATTTAAATTTATAGCTAAAAATAGAATTGTGTTATACACATTGTAAAAGTCGTTTTTACAACTTTCGATTCGATTTTTGCTAAGTACAATATTTTTTTTTTGATATATGGACAACTGGACAAGTATACCGAAAAGTTATGTACTTACTAAAAAGAAATCAATTTCAAAATAATATTGTACTCTAGACTCTAGTAAATCGTGTATGTTGTCGGTACCTAAGCATGTCTGTGTTTTAATATGACTACGTTCTCTCATGTCGACACAACAATATTAAGAGCGTTGCCGCTTATTAATAATAAAACTTCAAAACGGCAGCGGCGGTGTTGTGTGTTCATATTTCAACGGAATTGACAAACTTTGCTCATAACACGTCTTGTATAACTTACATACCTACACATAATATTGTAGTGGTAGGAAATATACGGCTCAACAATAGTATTGTTATTATACCCCGGTCATATTAAAAAAATCTGAACTATTCTCACAATAAAAAGCAGGCACGCGTCGAATAAAAATAATAATAATCAAATAAATATACAAACGTAGAAAGCACACACGTAAGTGTTTTAATGATAGGTTAGGTACCTGCACGCTTAAATAATCGTCCTCTTCACCTACATGTAGGTATACCCATCTGGATATAAATAACTCAATAACTCTATGTCACTATATGTGAAGAGCGTGCAAATCTCTCCGGGCGGGAGGCGGGGCTGTAAAAAGTGCGCTTTAGCCGAAATGAATGGACTGACATTAAACGCAAAAGTTATTTGCTACTATATCTTTTACAACAAAGGGCTAAAACAGATAGCGGCTAAGAAACTCTATCCCACAGGTTTAATCGATTAATTGTAGGTTGGTTGCGACTAATGGCAACGGATTACTTTTGGATACTTATCAAACTATCTCTCTCTCTCTCTCTCTTAAAGCGATTCGTGTGTAATGCCTATCGTAATTCTCGTCTGCAGCAAAATGCAATTATTGCGTGTCATCAATAACATAAGCGAAAATAAATATAATTTGGTGAGTTTAACAGTTGTATGTCATTTTTTATTGAAGTTAAACTACTCTATTTTTAAATTTCCCCCCCGAGAAAGTTTTGTAGGTGCACTTCATACAAACGATTTTACCGTTTAAAATATTTTCTCTTGTCCTCAATGAGTCATATCATTTGATCCGAATGGATTGCAGTTCAAAGAACTCACTAGGCCTAGAATAATAATGCATCCGGAATAAAAACATAATACATTACGTGATTGACAGTCACTTTTTTTATAACATCAAAATTATTAACTTACACATATCATGACCGTCTAATAGAAAACCAATTAAATTTTGATAACAACCTTGTCCTGATGTACGAGATTATGAAAATTAATTAAAATAAATTACTGTTATACTTTTTATAGGTATTTATATTTTATCATACTAACGATGTTTAAATAAATATTTATCCAATGCCCTTTTTTACTAATGTGAAATTGATACTACTAAGACTTAAATCTAAATAGATGTTTAAAAAAAAATTATTAGGACATTTAGTTGATATAATATTATAGTCTAATTATTATTAAATATATTTGTAGTGCTAAAGTAATAATTTTTTGTTTAAATTAATTAAAGGTCAATAATTTAAAAATATGTTTCACTTT